TAATCACGATTACCATATATTCATAGTAAGTTATTACGCCGTTCTAGGGCATTACCCTAACGCGTTATTTCACTATATTAGGACCTCATTCATTTATTATAATTACACCGTGCTAGAGCCTTGCTCGTAGTCACGTTACATCGTGCTAGAGTCTTACTCTTAGTCACTCTGCATTGTGCTAGAGCCTTGCTCATAGTCATTCTACATTGTGCTAGAGCCTTGCTCATAGTTATTACTAAGTCTCTAAGCAATATCTATGCCTAGACTCGATTCACTTTGAGTAGCCTTTAAGGCCTACTCCTAACATATCTTAGAGCTCATACAATTCGACCTTAAAGTATCTCTTAAGACTATTTAAGGTATCACTATTCACAATTCAATCTCTTAGGATTAATTCCATCATTATCTGTATTAACCTCCCGACTAGTATTCCAATACTAGTCGGATAATCTTAGAACAACTAAGTTCTTAACTCATAGTCAAATAATTTATTTCAATTGATTTTCCAATCCAAATATAATTTAATCTCAATATCAAAAAGATCACTTTTATCCATTCATGAATTCTTTACATGAAGTAAAAGTTATTTTATCACAATATTTCATAGTTAATTCCACTATCATGTCATCATTTTCATAACACATAATCATACACAATTTCTTCCAAATTTGTATATCATGCTTCATCTACTCATAGACAATAGTATTTTTATTTAGGCATTATTAATCATTAATAATCCATGAAAATCACATTTAAAATACCTTAGGTAATCTTATGAAATTAACTCACTAATTATAAGCAATATAGCCAGTCATCCTCACCTTATGATGTGCTAAACTAGCTGCCTTAGCAAAGCCCTCTGATCGATCCCCGTTTTAGGCTGACCGAAAATAAATGAACGGGGCAGACAACGAACGCCAGACGCCTCTCACAAAAGCCGGGCGGCTTTCAGGTTCTGCAACATGAGACATCTTCCTTTCTTTTGGCGGTTTCCGGCGATTTCGACTCCTATCGACTCACCAACTCTTCTAAGTTAAATAACACCACTTTATAACAATATTCTACACTTTTAAACATGTAGAACTCATGGTTTAATCCACCATATGATTTCTTAAAAATCATACATAAAGAAACTAGTTAAAAGAATATAGGTAGAGTTCTTACCTTGAACTGAAACTATTTCTTGCTAGACTTCCTTCCTCTTGCTTCCTTGAAGCTTGGACTTTGAGAGAAGAGTTCCCTAGAGCTCTCTCCTTTTGATATGTTCAAATGATGCACAATGAGTGAGGGAGGTGTACAGAGGTGTGGGGGGGGGGGGGGGGGGGGGGGGGCTTTGTCTCCAACCATCCCCTCACTCTATAGTCCGACCCTATCACTCAAATTTGTCTCCATTCCATTATTTAGAGTGTACAACATTATGTAGGAAAAGTTCACATTGGGTGTAGGAAGTTTCCCCCCGGTTATTATTGCTATTTTTGGCAGGTTGGGGGTCAAAATAACACTTGAGTTGCCCAAACATTTTCCTCAACATTAGTTGACATTTTCTTGGGCTCCTATAATTATTATGATGACCCAACTAAATATCTTGTAGCTCATTCTCAATATAATGGACCCGATAAATAATTTAATTAATCGCACATTAATTAAATAAATCATTTTGTTGCACCAATTTTATTAGCTAGGAAATTCAAATACATATTGAATTTTCAAATTCAAGTACATCCGTGTGCGGTGTCACACTATATCCCGACCCCCTAGCCCTTACCACCCCTACCCCGGTCATACCCCTTACCGACCCCACCCCACCCCACCCCACCCATACCCCGTGCTCTACCCCGACCCTGACCCCACACCCTACCCTTTACCCCCACCCTACACCCTACCCCTACCTGACCCACCCTTTACCCCCTACCTCGACTCCGTACCCCACCCATAACCTCTTAACCTTACCTACACATTACCCCCTATCATGGCCCCTATACACTACCCCTATCCCTACCTACCCTCACCCTACCCCTACTTGAGCTCATACCATATCCCTACCCTTACCCTGATCTAGGGTATGTGTTAATGGATGGGGTGGGGGTAGCAGTACGAGCATACTGATCAAGGTAGAGGGTACGGGTAAGGGTACGCTACGAGGTAGGGGGTAAGGTGGTAAGGGTACAAGGGTCAGGGATACGAGTAGGGTAGGGGTTAGGGGTATGGGGGAGTAGGACTAGAGGGTAAGGTTATGGTAGGGGTAGGGTAGGGAAGGGGTCAGGGGTCAGGGTAGGGTGGTGGTGCAGGGTAGAGGGGGGTAGGGTTGGTCAGGTAGGGGCAGGTGGTAGGGATAAAAGGGGTAGAGTAGGGCTGGGGTCGAGGTAAGGGCAGGGTGTAGGGGTAAAGGAGGTTGGGTCGGAGTAGGGTAAGGGGTACGAGTAGGGCTAATGAGGTGGGGTCGGGGTGGGTCGGGATAAGGTAGGGTAGGGGTAGCCAGGTAGGCGGGTGTGGTGGGTAGAGGGATAGAGGTGTAAAAAAGGGTAAGGGCAATGGGTATAAGTAAAGGTAAATTCGGAAACTGACAAAGCTTAAATTGTTGTTTAATTAATACATGGGGGTATGCTTAGGAAGCGACACTTTAAGCAGTTTGCGTGTTTACTTCACCTATCTTACTAACCTAATTGTGACTTTAGCAGCGAAGTAAACATGTCCTTAGTATCAGCGATATGGAGGTTGTTTGCGAAAATGGATGAAGGACAATTTGGACTTTAGCTTAATACGTATCCCATTATAACCATCCTCAAAGTTGTTGTTATCTACAAAAATACCGAGAAGCATTTAGAAGCACTTATATACCACCTTTTAGCTTTTAAGTACTTAATTTATTCTTTTGTGAGTGAAGCGTTTACAGAAGGTTTAGACTTGCCATTAATAGCGATGACGCAGACCTTGTTGGTCTCCACATCGTTGGGAGACGACGTGGAGAAGAAACACTAGTATCCATCGTGTGAGGTAGAAGGGACGGCTCCACCCTTGACTTGTGACTACGTACCTCTAAGTATGTTGGAATTCGATGCAATCTCGGGAATGGATTCGCTTGAAAAGCATCATACTCGAGTAGATTGATACGCCAAGGTTGTGGAACTCGAGAATAATGAGGGGAACGCCTTATGTTTCGAGGGAGATCGAGAAAAATCTCAAAGTTGTATCATATATGTGGTAAGAGCACCGATGATGATGATGAAGAAGGGATGACACGCATACCTTACTTACGTGGTGGATGAGACAAAGAAAGAGATTGACATCAACGATGTACGTGTAAAGGGCAAATCGTATCAGCGCTTGCCTGTCGAGAACCACCGTCAGACAGAGGCCATTTGTAACCCTTCCCAATGGATTTTTTTGAAGATATTTTTTTGAGAATGTTCTTCATCAAGTCTAGTTTATCCTCACCAAATTTCAAATAAAAATTCAATCGGGAAGTCAATTAAATAAATTTCTTACAAAACAACACAATTTTTGTACAGAATTTATTTGACTGTCTTCCCGATTGAATTTTTAGCTGAAATTTAGTGAGCCTAAACCAGAATTGATGAAAAACATGCTCAAAAAATTTAATCAAAAAATTCCACCAAGAAAGGTCCCAAATTCCCTCGATCGGACGACGAATCCTCTCAGGCCGGCCTAACAAGATCCGTTTTATCTTTATCTAATATTTATCTTAATTTTAATGGAATCTCTTTTTATCATACCTTATCTATTTATTTATTTTATCTTTCTTTTCCTTTTCACTCTGATATCATATATCAGTTTGTGTTAGCCAACCCCAAAATCTTGTGGGGCTAAGGCTTGGATGTTGTTGTGTAGCACCTATCAGTAAAATGATTCAAGGAAAAGTGAGCTAGGAGCGTTGCAACGACCGTTTCCCAGGATACGATGGCTAACGAGCTAAAGTTTGAGCGCACAAACGAGAGTTCCAGCGAACGGGAACAAGGACTGAACACTCAGGAAATTTTCAGAGAGCTGAAAGTGTTTTTGAGAGCTAAAATACGTGTATGATTGCTTGTGAACTTGTAAGAACACGTGTTTGTTGCAAACCACCTGCCAACTATTTATAGGAGGATTTGTGGTGTGTTAATCGAGGTTTAATGGACCCGAACGTTGCACATAAATGTCCAGCACGTTGGACATTAATATCTTGAAAAACTGTCCATTTAAAGATGCATTAAAAGACAAGAACGTTGGGCATTAACTTTCGTAACGGCTTAGGTATTCTGTTCCGGAAGGCAACAGAATACCTCTAAGGTCTTCTGTTCGGAAGGCACCAGAAGAGCCCAGAGGTCTGAGGTCTTCTGTTCTGTAAGCCAACAGAACTCCCCCACGAGGTGTTCTGTTCTGTAAGCCACCAGAATACCTCACGAGGTGTTCTGGTATGAAGCCTTCTGTCCGGAGAAGTTCTGCCGGCCTGGAAGAAACAAAAGTTAAATCGTATCTTTGAATGATAGATTTTTCGGACGGCATTCGTGTCCGCAGGTCGCCCGCGCACACGAATCGCGGTTTTTCTTCTCCGTTTCGAGATTTGATCGGCACCCCCTGCGCGTAAGAGAGAGCCTTTACCTTTAGGAATCTTTACTCCTTAAAAGAGGCTTCCCTTTATAAGGGGGTGAAAATCCTTTGAATTTTCCGGTGTGGTATAAAACACACTAGAAACCCATCATTTTCCCAGTTTTTCCATTTCAACGAGTGAACTTCGAGAATCAATTTCTCATTCACCCGTTATCCGTTTTGAGCGTACCACATATCGAATTGTAGCCCTTAACAAGGACAATCCGAAACCACTTTGACCCGACCCAAATCGGAAGTGGACCCCACTCAAATAATTGCCCTAAAATGACCATTTAATGCAATTTTTAACACATTTTTCCAACATTAAATTCAATTTTTCACGTTCTTTGTCATAATAAGCTAGCCAAGATATGTTTTTTTTCCCTACCATTTAATGCATGACCCGTTTGAGATTTGTGATCTAAGAAATGGTGTTTCATAGTAGTTCTGCTTCTTTGCGAGCAAATAATCCTTATTGTACTTTTGTGATTGTATTTTTTCAACTAAAACACGGAGTACCAAGTAATAGACGAGTTTATCAAGTACAAAAAAATGCAGGAGATTGCAGCCTGTAGTACATATGATATATGTATACTAGTGGTGTGATCGGTGAGCTGTGCAATTAGAAGGTCCTACTCCAAATTCCTTATAATATGTCTTCTCTGCATTTTCTATCCTATCCTGAAACATTTTCCACTCTCTTCTACTCCTTTCTTTCACCTGCAAAGAAGAACTTTATTGGAACACTTTGGATGTTGTACATACAGGTGAACATTCTAGGAATGTTGAACATTCAGGTGAACTCTCACTAACTAATGACCCATTACTTACCTCTCTCCGATTAGACTTCTCATCATCAATGTTCCCCTGGTGAAAGAAAATTAAACGTTACAATGTAAAGTAAAGCAAGTAGAGATGGCATTAGTCATTGCTAATCATAAGGATGACTGTCATGGAAATGCCTATTCACGTGTGTTGACTTTTCCTTTTATTACCGAAAGGGAAGGTATGCCTTGATGAACAATCGGTTGAGCATCAACAACTCCGATCTTCTCGATTGCCGGTGGCTACAGAGCATCATTAATGTTTTTATTGTCAGAGGCCATTGTAAAAAACATAGACTGGTTTCCTATAGTTGTAGTAGCAGTGGAATAAAAAAACTAACCTCAACACATCTTTGAAGTGCGAAGTCAAGACCCCAACCATGGACCAAGTCATTCTACAATTAATAGAATGGTAAAGGTCATGTCTTTGACTATAAAAGCCTTGTCTGGTTCAAAGAATGGGGGGGGGGATCAAGTGACTAAACAAATTATATGAAGTGTGGAGGAATAATCATTTTGGAAGAATATGTAAAGCTACTGTATTTGATGTAAATAAAAAGTTAATTAAATTGAATATTGATCTACATGTGTAACACTAATAATGTAGATCAACATAAATGAAGGTGGTATATTTATTTTCTATCTTTTTAAGCATTCAGCCAAAAAAACTACCCTAATTGGGGAAGTGATACATGAGGAGTGTGAATGATTTTCGAGCACCTCCACTTTCCCCTCTCCTTCCCTCTAACTCTCTCAACCAAACATACACCACACATTTACTTTCCCTCCCTCCCAAAACCCTCAGACCCAACAAGGGCTAGGGTAAAGCAGGAAAAATTGAAAGGCAAGGAACTCTAGGTGCACCACAACGCAAGCTAGTTTCATTTAATGGTCTCCAATAAATTTTTATGCCAGCCTCGGATAGGCACTATGACTTACGCAGTCTACCCACCCATGGACCAACTTTTCAGGACATTATACCTGAATCATATGCCACACGCAGCGCCATGCATTTCTAGAGAAGACAGGTGCCATGATCTCCACAAATCTAAAATTAGGCTAAAGAACATCATATCGAAATATAGAAACGTCATGCAAAATTGCATTGAAAAGCACAAGAACTGAACAACTAGTTCATTTATTCATACGCTGCACATGGAGGCTGATGAAGGTCCCAACACCAGCCTGCTCTCTCTTTTGTTTCTCTAATCACCCAAAAAGATGTCAATGTGGCGCCATAAACATTGGTTAAAACGAGACTGTTAATAGAAGCAGGCCAAATTACAGTGCACAGGCAATAATACATTTCAACATTCTTACTTGTGAACTTCACTGTTGCCTTTTATCTGCCTTGTCATTTGCCATGTTATCCCAACATCTTTGTAGGACTCCAAAGCCGGCTGTGAAATTTCCAGCCCATGTTTCTTCACAAGTTTAATGTATCTGAAATCAGAGACGAAAACCAAAAGAAGGTTTCATTGTACTTGCAGTAAATAAAACACAAAAAATCTGATGACTGATTGATTACTCACTCCTCAGCATCAAAATGATCAACACCAATGTCTTCATCCCAGATAAATATATAATCATATGGTGAAACAATGTCAGGATGCAGAAACCTTTTTGCATACCACCTTGAACAAATTTTAATTTAGGGGTCAAATTAAAACATTGGCATTAATTAGATGAATCCACACCCAAGAAATTGATCGTATGTTGGGAGAGGTTATTACCATTTTGTCTGTTCATTAGCGGTCACATGAATGACATTCTTTGACCACTCAAATTCATCCCACTCAGAGGTTCGTCCGTCGTAGTGAAACAGAAGGATGGTAAAATTGTCCGAAAACTGAAGGAGAACAAGTTGTTAAAGAGAACGGAAAAAAAGTTGTGGGTAACAAAATCTACAAGGCTTCACCTTCTTCACTGCAGCGTCAATGATCTTCTTCTGGTTATAGCCTACGGTGAATGTCACCAGATACTTGGGTTTGCTCGCTAGGTCCTGCATACAATAAAAATATACTTGTCGGGTATAAATAAAGCATGATTCAACCTTGACTTTGTGTCATCACACTGTCACAAAACAGAAAGGGGGTTTAGGTTCCATTTATCAGTAACCTATCTAGTTTTATTTTAATAACCTATTTTTGTAGTTACAAGTGAATGCATCTTCTACGGTAAGACATTCCACACCGGTCAAGATTGTGGTAATGAACTCACATATATAAGGCCAAATAAAAACAAATAAAGAGTGAAGCATAAGCTTTTGAATTACTCTTCTTCAGCCAAAATATATATCCTTTTTTGTTGACGCTTAAGTGGCGTTATTGATCTTCATAACGAAAAAAATATTTTGAGTAAGTTTTAATCGAGTATTGAGGCATGGGCTTACACGACACCATTCCGCTAAAAAAAGATATCCAGAGAATATGCTAAAAAGCCTCAATTCTGGCACATAAATGTCAAGAAATTTTGTGAAACCAGTAAACGCTATGACATGTGAGAAGAAAGGGGTTGGGTTGAACAGTCACCTCACTGGGGATTCCCCATAACCGCCGAAGGTAGAAATCTGATTCCGAAACAACAATATCAGGAGGCAACCTTTCTGCCCCTCTTGGGTTTGATGGAACCCAAATCTGATCAAGCCATGATGAAAATGACCGTTAATTTCTTTATATTCAATGTTATCATCCATCCAAAACGACATTGTTTTGGGCCTCTTCAAAGAAGTCACAAAAACGTCATCTTTAATGTGGTTGGTAATCAGTTGTATGTTAGAAAGATGTTTCTCTTATAGTTGTGTGCACTTGTTTTTATTACATTAAACCTAAGCTGTGTAATTTGCAGTTCACGATGATCGTGCTACTACCTATAACTATAATAAGGACGTGTTTGATACTTTGATCGTAGTGTTCCCAACATTCAATAACGTAAAAACATGAATGAGCGTGAAAGAGTTCTTCATATTTATTCTGTTAGTTTTGTAATTTTTTTATTAAAAAATTACGCAATTTATACCCTGCAATCAGGGCACCATGAGGATGGTGAGCCCGGTTGCAAAACCACGCAACTTCAGTGGGATTCATTATTTTTTATTTCTTTTAATGTTAAAAATTGTAATAACTTTTTTATTTGATATCCGTTTTTTATAAATTCTATATCAATTGTTTTTTTATTTTTCATTATCTATCAAATGAGACCAATATTGCTTATGTAATTTTAACAAATTATTTTGAAGTTACATTTGATAATATATCATGAAGTTACACCCCCTTCTGCGCGAGTTACATCTTATTGTAAGCGAGTTACATCTTAATATACGCGAGTTACATCTTAATGTATGTGAGTTACACCACGAAATAAACCTCTGCTACATCTTTCATTTTTATCATTTGAAAAATAGTGTATGGATATGAAATACAATATACTTATTTTATGTGGATTAATAAAATTTTGTATTAAATTGGCAAAGAAAAAAATTAATTCAGTTATAATTGAATTAGTTCAAGATAAAGATAAGTAAAAAATCACAAATAATTAAATATAACTCACACATAATTACATGTAACTCGCGCATAAAAGTATGTAACTCGTGTATAACAAGATATAACTCATACATAATTACATGTAACTCGCGTATAAAAGTATGTAACTCGTGTATAACAAGATGTAACTCACACATAATAACTTGTAACTAGAGTATAAGATGATGTAACTTCGTATATTATCAAATGTAACTCCAAGCTAGAAGCAAAATAAACAAACTCAATATCTTAAAAACATCTAAAAACATATAAAAGTGATAAAAAAAATATATTATAGAAAAAGTGTATGCATATAAAAATATATTACAAAAAAATGTATGAATGTAAAAAATTAAAATTACATAGGCAATATTGGTCTCATTTGAAAGATCATGAAAAATAAAAAAAAATGATATAAATTTTATAAAAATCGGATCAAAAATAAAAAAATCATTAACAAATTTAAGAAAAGGAGAAATAAAAAATAACAAAGGGTGCATGGTGTTCACCATGCATCGGTTCCACGGTATAAGCACTGAAAAAATTAAGGGCTTGTTTAATACGGAGTAATAAAGACGTTTTTCACTGTTCTCGGTTCTCCATTTTTTTTGTTTTAGTTTTCCAGTTTTTCGTTCCTGTTTTTTATTTTTCAATTTTTCATTTTCAGATATGAAAACATCTCACCAAAATTTGTCACTCGGTTTTGAGGAATCAACTTGAAAACCGAAATTACGGTCCGGCCCGGAACTGGACCTGGCACAGCCCAAATAGGGTACTTGGTCCCTAGTAGAGGAAAGCTGGGACTAAACCGGCCGGTCCTGGTCGGTACCAATGACTAGTTTGACTAAAAAAAATTATCTTTTCTACTATTGATTGGCAACCTAAAGGTTCTTTTGAAACTCTTCAATTTGAAAAAAAAATGATTTTAAAAATGGGGATGGGACCAGGACAGGGACTGCCAAATGCCAATTGTCGGGTATCGACCAGACCGACAGGGAGTGTCGAGTCATCGTCCGGACCGGATCGGACCCAGATTGTCAGGTCGTTGACCGGACTGGAGCGGGATCGGATCCACCACTAGGCGTAAGTAGGCAAATTCATTGCAGCAGCACTGCAACGTCACCGCATTTCAAATTTGGAAAAAACTCACTTCTCTAATTCATTAAAAAATGAGAGACATATCTTCTTATTTGGTTTTAGAAAACGATTACAAAAACACACTTTCCTGTTTTCCTTTTTCCGGTTTTCCTGTTTTAGAAAAGTGCAAATGACCCCTTTTATAGGACGCTCTGTCTGGCCGTCGTCATTTGGGGCGGTTACCGGTGGAATTTTTTAATGAATTTTTTTTAGCAATTTCTTCATTAAGTCTAGTTTACCCATACCAAATTTCAGGTAAAAATTCAACCGAGAAGGCAGTCAAATGATTTTCTGAAATATACTGCGTGTTTAACTGCACAGTTATCTTCAAACATTTATTCGCACACGGTAGAATCATATGGAGAAAAAAACATTATCTAATACTCTGGCTATCCCAAAATCATTTGTAAAATCATCTTTCCCTTGTCAACATTGATTCACTTTATTTACTTATTTAGTAAATAAGTATATCAATTTTCTATTATATCCTAATTTGAATCTTTTGCAATGAAACCAAAGATTCATTATTTTTGGCTTGAGATTATGATGGAATAAAGCAAAATGGCTCACTAAACTGTCTGCGCTTCTTTGTTATGAAGAAGCAGTTAGTCCATGCAATTTTGGACGCGATATTCACTATGGATCATCCGGAAATAGTCTCTCTGTGCTTTAGTATAGTGCCTTTGCGGCACTGGGGAATATGATCCTAATTTGAATTTTGTGGATTCATACAACTTTCAATGTGATTTTTGAATATGAAAATTTTAACGATTAAAACAGATTTAACTATATATCTGAATGGATAAGTTAAGTATATCGCGGATCAACCTTAGAAACGGTAAACTGAACAATTGGGGACGGAGGAAGGAATTGGATAAGCAAGAAATGATGCATGTACCCGTGTAGAATCTGTTAGATTTTGGCTTTGTGTAGTGTCATTACATTCTGTAGGTGAAATTCCATAGTCTGGAGTTGGCAAAAGTATATTGTTAGTGAGACTTGTGGTCCTAACACTGTGCTGCAAAATTAGAGGCACCGATTAAGTAGGAATTATATATAAATATGGAAGATGATATGATGCACGCGTCATCAATCATATCATATGGTGAAGTATAGTAGGCGGAATATATATATATATATACGAGTGAGAGGTAGCTTCGTACCTTATTTGAGGTTAGAGTTGGATATGAGACACCAAGAAAGAATCCAAAAGTGGCACCTACCATGATACTCACTATAAGTCTCTTCATGTTAAATGTGGCATGTGATTTTATCACCATTTTGCCAATGCCAAATAATTTTTCTGTTTCCAGCAACGGACTTTTTATATATGTGCCCGCACAAGACCTGAGGGAATTGAAGTGCATGTTTTTATAGATCGAGAAATAATGAACGAGGAGGGCCAATTAAATTTTCAAGTTTGGAGGAAGGCAAACAAATAGCTTGATTTGTGTCATTCATCCAAAGGGAAAGTTGGCGCTTGCCTTTTACTTCATAACCATCTCTATTGCCCGCAATAATATAATATAATAATAAAATGCTTCTTTTTTGTCATCCTTTTATAAGAGCTAGTAGTATGCTTAATTTTATCAATACCAACAACATGGCCAACTCTTGAGTTTTGGGAAAATAGAATTGAAGCAAACGAGAAACACGTTCAATTCGCATATGTAATATATACATCGATAACAAAAAGTACGTACGTACCATAAAGAATAACCAATTCCACTCCAAAGCAAACTTAGTCAAGTTTATGGGGTTTGTGCATAGCCTCATACATATTAAACTTGTGTTTTAGAGTGGCCTGGTATCTGAGATTGATGAAATAATAGTACATACAAGAGAATGCAAAGAGGGTGTTGATGCCAAAAATAAAGAAAATGCAAAGAGGGGAAAAGGTGGGCGGGCTCAAGAATCATTTAGGTACTTTCACTTTTGCAAATGTGATTGGTTATTACGAGAATCAATCTTCTCCGCTCTTCTCATATACTGTATAACCAAAAAATTAGTTAAGCTCCTATTAATAAACAATCACGCACCTCAACTTTAAAAAATACTGTATTTAAATATCACTCTTGTTGACTTATGTTGCTGAATTTAATAATCACGCGTTCAAAAATATCATTGAAATAAAATCTATTTAAAATTATGACTAATAGTTATTATAGTATAGTGACATGGTCATTTTAGTGTATAAATTGAACATGACTAAGTTACGTACTACTATAATTTTTTTTTTTATCTTTTACTTCCCTTCACATTTTACTTAAATACGGAGTAATAATAAATAAAAGAAGATGAGATAGACTACAATTTTAATGTTCTATTTCTAAAATATAGAACTTGATCAAATAAAATAAAAAACATATGAAATCGAATCAAATCGAACTAAATTGAACCTAATAATTTTCACTTTGGTATTCTGAACTTTAAACAAAACCAAATCGAATCCGAACCGAAACCAAACCTAACCAAACCGAAACATAAATGATTTTAGTTAGGTACAATATCTCTCAAATAGAATAAACCGAAACTGGGCCGAAACCGGTTAAAACCGAACTGCAAACTGATTTGCCCACCCCTACTTTAACAAATTTGGTTTCGTCTCCAACAAACTTAAACCAAATATTATACAACCGGTTTGTTTCGGGTTCCTTTAATTGCAATTCCGGAATCAAAGCTTTCGATTCCGGTTCTGAACAAAAAATGCATATACCTCTCTCATGTAAATTTTTGGAGATCTTAGTGAATATGGGTAAAAGTGTACTTTACCATTCGAATAGTACCAAAAAGAGAAGTACCAACTTGGTTTTGGGACATCTCAAACAGAAAAGTGAGAATTTGATTGTGGAATAGAGGGAGGAACATATAATGTGGCAGAAAGCGCAAGCACCAAACTTTTTGGGACATCTCAAACGGAAAAGTGAGAATTTGATTGTGGAATGGAGAGAGGAACATATAATGTGGCGGAAAGAGCAAGCACCAAACTTGCATCAGCTCAAGCAGTTGACTGCTTCTGTCAAGAATCAAGGCCTATATGAAACCTTACTAGGTTAGGGATTTGACCCACAGAATAGTGTTGAAGGCCTAAGGTCACACAAGGTAGAAGAAGTATGATGCTTAAGGAGCATAAATGATTGACCAGCTGTGGATCGTGATGCTAGTGCTTGTGAAACTTCATAGCTTTGTGGAGTCCACCAACAACATATTTGCAAGTCAGTTGACTCGGTGTAAACCCCATTTTCATCATTTTCTCTTGAAATTCCATTAACTCACCAACATTGCCTTTCTCACCAAGAAGATATGCAACTTTGTTATAACAAACTGAATCAAAAACTTGAAAATTTTCAGCAAAGCGTCTTAGTAAGAACCGCGCTTCATCAAAGTTCTTATCATCACATTGTCCTGTAATCAAAGCTCTGCAAATTTCAGTGTCTGGTTCCAACCCCGAATCAATCATTTCTTGCAAGATGGAATTTGCCTCTAGATTTCGACTTGATACACACAAACCATTAATGATCGCTCTGTATGAATCCAAACAGAGCTTGAACTTTTTACCCACCATCTCGTCTCTCAAACACAGTGCCTCATCCACATAGTTGCAATTGCAAAAAGAAACAATTAGCTCTCTGTATATTACCGTGTTTGGTTCAAACCCTTTTTTAGATATATGGTCCAACATATTCTTGGCGGCATATGGTCTATTATCTGCGCACAGAGCTACGATCACGTACTCATGTATCTCATGAGATATTAAAAGCCCAAACTTCGGGAGCTCCAAAATCAAATTCAAGGCTGAGATAATTTTCCCATGTTCCCTATATCCTTCTAGTAGTTTCCGCAAACTGAAATTGTCAGGGCCCACTCCATTTTGAATCATATCATGAAACAAAGCCTTGGCCTCATGCAGCATTCCTTCTTTGCAGTATCCATGCAAAAGAGTGTTGTACGAAATAGAATCTGGTTTGAAACCTCTATGGATCATTCTGAGGAATAACTGATGAGCATCTTTGACATTTCCTCCCTTGCAGAAACCACTAATCAAGGAAGTATAGGTTATTAAATCGGGGGGCACTCCTCTTTTGTACATAATGTAATACAGATAAACTGCATCTTTTAGCCGCCCTCTCTTGCAATAACTGTCAACTAACATGTTATAGGTAATGATATCGGGTCCTAATCCTTCTTCTTCTTCCATTCTTTCAAGAAAACCATCCACCATGTCCACATCCCCACTCTTGCAGAGGGAATGAATCATGATGTTGAGAGTGCATGAGTTCGGGCTCACCCCAATTCTCTCCATTTGGGCATACACTTTCCTGCAATTGGAAAAATGATTTGCCTGGGAGAGAGCATTCAAGAGGATATTGATTGTGATGACATTGGGCGAAACGCCCATTCTGATGACATTTTGAAATGTCTTAAATCCACGTTTTAGCATTCCAGCCCTGATGTAAACCCTAATAAGCATATCAAACACCACAGGACTCCAGTTGCACATCCTGGTACCATCGATCAAGCCATTGAAAACAGAATCCCCCTTTGCCGCCGTGGTGGTCAGCTGGACAAGCTGGGATAGAGTCTGCATTGCCATGGAATAATTTCTAGACCAAGCCAATATGTGAACCATAAGGCAGTAGTTGAGCGTGTCTAACCTGTTACTAGTGCCGTTGATGCTTCTGGTCCAATCGAAGAAGGAAAGAGCGGCGTGAGAATCGGATTGGCATCGCAAGAGGACCTTTGAGATCTCGGAGCTTGTTAAGACGCGACTAGAAAGCTCCTCTCTTAGGCTGGCGCCTCTTAGGTTTCTCTGCTTTAAGGAAGAACATACGAGGCCGACTGTTTTGTAAGGATTTTCTGTATCCGGCAGAAAATTGTAGAGTGGGCTTGATATTGGAGTGATCTCGGCTTCAATCTCATGGACGGGTACTTTTTGAAGAGATGAAGAATATGAGGGCGGAGGTGATGAGAAGAAGCAACGCTGAGATGATTTTGGAAAATAAGTTCGCACATAAACACTATTTTGAAACTGCTTGTATTTTTGGAAATAGTGACCGGATACTTCCATTCCCCCCTGAAACAGAAGGCTCCGGCGCCGGGGCCCTGCCGCCGAATGCAGGGTGGGTTTAATAAATGAATCTGTCTATGAAAACACTACTCCTCGGTTTCCGTTTGTTTGACATGCTTTACTTTTTTGACATGTTTCAAAATGAATATTACACCTCAATTTCTTTATTTGGTAAATAAATCTTTACCAAAAGAGTGCAAAAAAGTGATAAACAATGTCAAACAATGTTCAAACAGTGTCAAACAGTGTACTCTACAGTAAAATTTACCCTTCAGTAACATTTTTTCCATCCTTGACAAATCAAACTACGTCAAACAAATAGAAACGGAGGTAGTACTTGTTTCTGGCATAAATTGACATATTCATTATTATAGTATACGGAGTATTAACAAATTTAAATAAAATAGGAGTGCTTTTTTTAACATAAAAAGGAAATTTTATTGACAAATGAAAGAAGGATTACAACGCGAAAATAGGGAAGAAAGTCGGGAAAAGGGTACAAAGGGGAAAAAGAAAAAAAGGAAATAAAAAAAGGAAAGAAAAAAATTAGATACAAGGGAATTGTTTAGATTGTGATCTAATATGATTCCGTTTGAGATTATTGTGAAATAATGGAACATGTTATCCTAATGAGGGTTCTGACAAATATATTTATAATAAAGAGAGTTGTCAAAATACATCAGGATTCCTAATTTATACTCCCTCTATCCCTAATTTTGGTGTGTTCTGACACCAAAATACCACCACGCAACGTGTGATTTACTAATCACCTCATTAGTAACGTCTTATTTCGAGCGGTTTTTGCTTGATACATGCTACCAAGCTTCTCCCATAGTGTGGAAGCACTCTGTTCTTGAGCAACATGGTGGAACACACTATGATCGATCCACTGTCAAATTTGTGCGACAGTTTTTCGATCCCTTTTTGTCTATTCTTAATCTATCTTCTTATTCGGTTTGACGCCATTATTATTAAGAGGATCGGCTAAATCCCTTAAATTTAGCAAATCCTCCATCCGAGGCTTCCACATACTGTAGTTTGTGGAAGTGAGCGCAATCATGGTCTCCAATGATGATTTTTCCATAATAAAACGCTCCATATATCTCGTACATTAATTTTGAAGTCGAATATGGATGAACGGAGCTCACCATTGAATCCCGGAGTGGACGAAAATGGTAGGAACCGGTGTGACCTCGTCCAAAACCAGTCTGAAAGGCGTTGAACTGTGATCCATAAATACGAACCAGTTCAGTCCGGTTCAGGTAGCATCCCAAAGTGCAAACAAGCAGGCGGATGACGTGGCAGCAGCTGGCTCTGCGCTGGCACTGACGTGAAGACACGTGGCCGGTGATGTGGCTCGTATCGGCGGCTGCCGGGTTATCCGGATGACGTGGGCCGACTAGGCGTGACGTGTCGCTAACTTGGACGACACATGGCACTGACATGGTCATCGTCTTCATTGAGACGACACGTGCAGCGCGTATCGCGGCTCTCCACCACTCTCCGGTGCGTGCGGCGTCCTCCGGTGGTTGTATGAAAAACCGTTGGGAAAAAATCACGATTTTCTAACCCGTAGAAATTTTTCTGAAAAAGTGTATGAAAAACTCAACCTCGCTTTGATACCACTTGTTGGGATTGGAAAATTCTTCTATTCAATATCAAGAACAGAATTACAATAGGCAGAGCAAACTCTCATACTCAACTATTACAAAAAACCAATCATCACTAATACACTTCTACTCTAAGTGTATTTCACTCTACACACACTTTTCTCACTTTAGAAATTGATGCTAATGAAAACCATCGAGCACTCTATTTATAGGACTAGTTTGGAGACAAAAGGAAGTTGCATCCAAGCTTCCATTCACATGGCTAGGGAGTTTCATAGCTATCTCCAAATAATCTCCCCACATGTTTATATGTTGGAGACCTACTTCCAAAAAGGTGATAGATGTCTCTTGGCAACTTCCAAGAAAGAGGGTGGAAGATCTCTACAAAATTTGTAGTGAATACATCTTAACGATGCGAAATATACTTCACACAAATTAAGAATGATGTATCCAAGGATTGATACATACATTTATGAAGGTTGTTTATGGTCTCTTAGCTTAATTGGAATGTACTTTTATCACGATTAAAAAATTAATAAACCAAGTCACTACAAATTTCATTTTAGATGTGTATATGATAGACCAATATAAAGTATAAACTACTTGGAGGATTTTCAATTAAAATCGGTTATAATAAAAGCATTCCTCACACATCAATTTTATTTACAAAAATAAGTAATACGGAGTAATATTTAATCATGGATGTTTAATCATTCAAAGACTACTATGAATGTTGGAATTTCTTTTTCCTAAGGATGTGTTTGAGAGTTGAGTTTTGGAGGGGAAGGGAAGGTTAATGGAGGCTTATGACCCTCTTTTTCATGTTGGGAGTTTAAAAAATTGAAGGGGATGGTTTTGGAGGGTTTTTGTAACCCTTCAAAACCCTACAAATGCTTAATTTTTAAGTTTCCCCAATTTGGAGGGTTTTAGAGGATAATTAACAAGATGATAATTTAAACTAAATTAAAAATGAATATCAGCTCAATGATTTGAATTCATCATATCTAAAGATGATTTTAATTATAATTCTTTCAAAAACTCTCTTCTTCCAATTTTATTACACCCAAATACAAAGGACTTCCTCACCCTTCCCTCTCTTTCCCCTCCAACAACCATCCTCCAAAGCCTTCCCCTCCCCTTCCCTTCAGACTCCCAAACATACCCTAAAATAAAATGGGTATAACACAACTACTATTAGAGTGCATAAATATGTCCAGTAATATAATCGCATCATTTATTCATTTTCATGAGGTCATATTTTTTACTTTAAAATTTGATTTGATAACATTTACTAATATTTTTAACTGAATATGTTGTTGTGCATGGCACGGGTGGAATTTTAGTTAGGCCAATGAAACATTTTGGACCATGGCAAATCGGGATGACGAAAAAATAGTGAGTAGATCAAGAATTGGAATCAGAAAAGACTGCCCAATGCCTTGGCTTTCTCCCTCAACACAAACTTTTGCATCTTTCCGGTGGATGTCTTGGGCAAATCTCCAAACACAACCGACCGAGGGGCCATATAATGAGGCAACCGTTCCCTACAGAAACTAATCAGCTCATTCCCATCAGCTTCGAACCCCTCTTTCAGTTTCACAAAGGCACAAGCCGTCTCTCCCCAATGCCTGTCCGGTCTCCCAACCACTCCCACTTCAAGAACCGCGGGATGACCATACAAAACGGTCTCCACTTCCACGCTGCATATGTTCTCTCCCCCCGAGATTATGATGTCCTTAGACCTGTCTTTAACTTCTACATACCCGTCCGGATGTTTTACACCCAAATCACCACTTCTAAACCACCCACCCCTAAATGCCTCTTCTGTGGCTTTGGGGTCCTTCAGATACCCACACATAACAGTGTTCCCTCTAAACATGACTTCCCCCATAGTCTTACTGTCTGCCGGAACGCTTTTTGTAGTAGCGGGGTCTCTTACATCGACGTCCCCCAAACAAAAGTGGGCCACCCCTTGTCTTGCTTTCATCTTTTGTCTTTCTTCAGGAGGCAATGAATCCCACTCGGGCTTCTCCATGCAAAATGTGCTCGGACCGTAAGTCTCGGTCAGCCCGTAGATGTGAATCAAATCGAAACCCATCTCTTCCATTTTGGAAAGGAGTTGTGGAGGCGGCGGCGAACCACCCGTCATGACCTTAACGGTGTGAGGGAGCAGTTTCCGGACGGTTGGGGATGAGTTGACAATCATGTTCAACACTGTAGGTGCGGCTCCCATGTGAGTGACCTTGTGCAGGGCAATGTTGTCAAATATGTCTTTTGGACTGAAACGCCTAAGACATACGTTAGTGCCGCCCAAAGCCGCCATGCCCCAAACCATGTTCCACCCGTTACAGTGGAACATTGGGACCGTCCAAAGATAAGTTGGCATAAAATTCATCTCGTGAACAAACAGGGTGGCAATGGTGTTAAGGTATGCACCTCTATGGTTATAAACAACACCCTTTGGCCTTGAAGTTGTGCCGGAAGTGTAGTTGATGCAAATCGGGTCCCACTCATTTCTCGGCCACCGGATCCCGAAAGTCGTGTCCCCACTCTCCAAGATTGCCTCGTACTCGTCATGATCGGGCACACGAGAATCGGAAACTGTGCCTTCTCCGGGCTCCATTATCAAAACAAGAAGTGGGGGATCGGTTTTGCTGCCTATGAGAAGATTGATTGCTCCTCGAGCGACCGGGAGAAGGTGACAGTATACAAAAAGGACCTTAGCTTCTGAATGGGCCAAAAGTGTGGACACCATGGATGAATCATGGCGAGTGTTTAGTGTACAAAGGACTGCTCCAGCCATTGGCACTGCAAAATGCAGCTCTTGCATTGCTGGTACATTAGGTGCCAGTGTGGCAACCTGTAATTTAAAAAAACAGGCATTGGCCTAATTAGCATCACAGTACTGATGAATAAGTAGTTAATCATGCAGGAATGCATTTGGCCCCTGTATCATTTGGCCCATCTATCAACTTGTGCAATATTGCAAAACATGCCATCCTAAGCTGCTGTTTTTTACAAGAAAACATCATTTTCATCATTTTCATTTTCATTCTCATTTACCCCAATGCCGCAAAGGCTCCCACCTACGGTGGGGTAAGGGAGGGTCGGATGTACGCAGTCTTACCCCTATACTAAAGCACAGAGAGACTGTTTCCGGATGACCCATAGTGAAAATCGCATCCAAAATTGCATGGACTGACTGCTGCTTCATAACAAAGAAGTGCAGACAGTTTAGTGAGCCATTTTGTTTTATTCCATCATAATCTCAAGCCAAAAAATAATGAATCTTTGGCTCCATTGCAAATGATTGAAAAAATGTGTACAATCTTATCATGTGTTTGGCAGTAAAGAAACATTCTTTGAACCTGTGTGAATAGGAAGTCATTTATCTTGAAGTAGTTTTGTTTTCTTTGTTTATGTAGATAATAATTAGATAAAATATTATACCTAATGCGTCCAAAGAAAATCTTGTTTTGGACATTCTTTATTCTGTCATAAAA